CCCCCCCCCCCCCCCCCCCCCCCAGTACACCATGAGGACATAGCCTGAATTTTCATCTCAAGTCTCAGCAGGGGTGTAAAGTGGATGGTAAGAAAATGTTTGTGGAAGTGAAACCTTTGTCTTCTCAAAAGAAATTTCTCCTAACCTTAAAAGGCTTTCTCCCCCCCCCTCCACCTATAGAATAGTAGATACATTGAAAAAGAAATTATAAGGCACTTTTTAAAAACATATCACATGTTATTTCAGTGTTCATCATGAACTTGCAAGAAAGATATTTTGACCCCATTACACAGATGAGGAAACTGAGACTTGCATTATATAAGGATTTACTCAGGATTACACAACTAGACCATGGTAAGCCCAGGACTAGAAGTTGGATTTCTTTTTTTTTTTTTTTAAAGAGAGAGAGGAGAGAGAGAGAGAGAATTTTAATATTTATTTTTTAGTTATCGGCGGATACAACATCTTTGTTTTGTATGTGGTGCTGAGGATCGAACCCGGGCCGCACGCATGCCAGGCAAGCACGCTACCGCTTGAGCCACATCCCCAGCCCCGAAGTTGGATTTCTTTATCCCTGGATACCTTCCCCACCCACCCAGAATTAATACCAACAATTGATAAGCATTGACTATTTCAGAAGGAAATGAAACTAACAACTCTATTTGCTCCTTTCTGTTCCCATTGTCCTCTCTCTCCAGAAAACTCTAGTGACCTCCCTCTCTTCTGACCACCTATTATTTGTGCACCACCCATCTGAATGCTTACTTGTATTTTCCTTGTTTCTCCTGTGTGTATGTCTGGTTGGTTCCAAAAGATTCTTAAGGGCTCAGACTATGCCTTCTATCCTCTGTGTTCACCCAAGGTTGGCTCAAGTCCTGGCTAGGTTCATAGTAGAACTTCAGTAAATCTTGACTTGATGGATTGATGGTGCCAGAAACTAGGTACTGAGCAAGGTCTGGGGAGGCTCAAATGTGTGTGTAGTAGGGGGATGAAGATACCCTGACAAACAGATGATAACATAACCTTTCCTGTGTGCCTAACACAATCACAGTTTACAAAGCACTTTCATGAACATTATCTCAGGATCATGCTTTAATCCAATCAACAGAACTTTCCCAAGTGCCTACTAAGAACTGTGCTAGGATAGGGGTTGAATCGTCATAATTCTGAGTTAAGTCTTATCTTCATTTAAAGGTGATGAAACTGAAGCCCAGAGTGACTATCCCAGCACCTAGGATAGTACCTGGCTCTGGAATTAGGGTTTAATTTCTTTTCTTTTCTCCAGGATCCCCAGGGGATAGACTGGATCTCAAAGCAGAGGGCCGGTCCTAAAACATAATAGTTTTTAGGAGGGTCCACTCCATTTACTTGGGTCACATGGGCCTTTTCGGATCCTTTTGGCACAAGTTCAATTCATAGTAGGTCCAGAAAACGATGTTTGTAGGGATGAGGGTGGACTCGTTGCAAGGGGTCTCAAATGTGGTACACAGTCAAGTTCAAGAGTGTTCGGTATGTTCTGTGGAGCAGCCATGTGGAGCTGAGCGCTCCCCAGGGTGGGGCTGTGACTCATTCCCCCAGCGTAGGTTCCAGGTCGAGATGCCGAGCAGAGCTCTGGGCAGCCACGAGTTCTGGGTGGAACCCTGGAGCGAAAAAGAAGGCGAGCGGCCCATTGCTGGGATCGAGCAGCTCCCTCTACTGGAGAACTCGGGGAACCACTGTGTTTCCGTATATCTGTGTGTCACTGTGTCACGAGGGATGTCACAGGTGTGTCAGCGAGAGTCGGTGTGGGCATTTGTGGGTGGACGTGCCGGCACGGGTAAGGGTGTGTGAGGTTGCCTGTTCGTGGCTCACTGTGGCTGTGCCAGCGCCATTAGGGGCTTTTTCTGGAAACACAGTGTGTACCCACAACCACATCTTGTGTTATAATTTATTTACTTTGGGGATGGGGGTAGGGGAGGCCCTAGCGATGAAATTACGTATCTTCCTGTTACTGGAATTACTGGGAAAAACGGATCTTCCAGCCGACGTTCCTCACCTGCTCGTTCAGTAGCTTGAGAAGGTGGGAGCGGGTCGGGCCAGGGGAGCATTTCCTGGGAAGCGACTCTACGCGCTGAAGCAACCAGGGACCCAAGAAAGGGTTAACCCGGAGCCCCACAATGACTTCAATCATTGGTTCAGCGTACTGTCAGTCAGCGTTATGAGGGCGGGGTTTTCGAGGCAGCAGTCGGATTGCCTGGCGCCCCTCAGTTGCCCCTCGACCCCCCACATCATTTCACCCCCATCTCGGTGGAGACACCTTCCTGGGCCCTGGAGGAAGAGCAGATCCGGGCATCCTGACTTCCCTACTCTCTCCAGCTGCCTGGCTTCCTGATAGATGGTGATTATTATATAATAGACTTGCTGGACAGAACCGTGCCAGCGCTCGGAACACTTTGCCCCCTCCTCGAAGCCTGCTGTAGGACCTGGCACCTGCAGCCCAGAGCCTGCTGCCTAGCTCTGCCGGCGCCCCAAGCACCGTCTCCATCCCGGGGCGGGATCCCAGAGCCACCTTCTCTGGTGGCCTGGGGCCGTGTTCTAGGATGGGGCGGGCGCCAGGCTGGGGAGTCGCGCCGGCGTCCCTAAGGTCTCAGGGTCGGCTTGTGGAGTGTGGCTTTACCAGCGCCTAAGATTATGGGATCCACTAGATCCCCTCCAACCTGAACTTGGAACTTGGGAGCCAACAGAGGTGGGGCTAGGGGGCGCAGGGGCCAAGGTTGGAAAGGGAAAGGAGTTTGGAAAAGGTGCGGGTGCAGGAAACGGGAGGCTGAGAGAGGGGGCCGACGGGGGCAGCGGGGGAGGGACTCTTATCCTGACAGAGCTCCCGCCTTCCCCGACTGGAGGGTTTGGAAAAACTGAGCAGGCAGCCAAGGCTTGGCTGGAAATCCTGCAGCCCACCCTCCTGGGGACACAAAGCTGTAGGGCGGGGGCAGGGCGAGGGAAGAGAGCACGACCCCGGGTGGGCAGGGCCTCTTTTGGGGCTGGGGGCCCAGGGGCCAGGTCCCTGGGGAGGGGGTTCCTGGCGCTGTCTCCCTGCAGTCTGCTTCCCCCTTCTCCCGCTCTCCCCCCTCCTCCCCCTCCCCCTCTCAGGCTCCAGTCTTGCAGATTGCGGGCAGACTTAACTCCTTGCACTCCAGCTCGGTGGAGTCTGAGGTGGTGACGCTGCGAAGGAAAGAAGGAGGGAGGGAGGGACTCCAGATCCCACTCCCACCCACAATTTAACGCCTTGTGGCCCGGAACGCCATCCCGGAACTTGTGCTGGTCAGACCCTGACCGGCTGTCTGGTACAGGAGGAGCCACACGCAAAGCCGCGCACCTGGAACTGTGAAATCCAGTCCACTTTTTGCCCAATCTTAACCGTCTACCCTCCCCGCTCCCATCTTCTATGTCGGTCCTCCACTCTCTGGCCACCCTCCCCGCCTTCACCCACTAGTTGGGGCCGGGGGCCCCTGGCGGATAGAAGGCTGCTGGGATCCCGGAAGTCTGGGTTTGGAAGCTACCTGAGCTTTCTCCTCTATATCCCTCCTCTAAGGCCCCCTCTCAGGTGACCACAGCCCTTGCCTCTTTCACTGACAGAGGGGCTTGCACCCCAACTGAATGTTTACCTTCCCCAGCTCCAGCTAGCACAAGGAACTGAGTTCCTGGAAAATCTGACTTCACCTCTACCTAGACCCCCTCCTCTGTTAGATTTGTCCCCCAAGTTCTGCTACGAATGATTCTGCCCGAGAGGTACTGCAGACTAGGCAGGAAGGAGTTAATGAAGCTCCTGGGCTCAACTTGACAGCCAGGTGAGGCACCGCCCTTCTTGGCCTCAGGTGCGAGTGGGTGGGGAAGACGGGGGACACTGACCTTAAGGGCTGCTTTCCTTTTGCCCCCTGGTGGCTAGATCAGGCTTAGCAACCGTTGGCAAAAGTCTGTTCACGTGGAGGTTCGCGGAAGGACGACTTTGTGAACTGCTAGAAGCTAAAGTCCTCCTCTTCCAAGGGAGAGAGATCCTTCTAGGGGGTGCGGAGAGGGAGCTCCCACTATCCCTGCCTATCGTGCTGTCCCCACTCAGAAGGCTGCCAGACGCTTCCATATCCTTATCCTAGGAACTCTACTTACGGGACCCAAGTATTCGAGACACCTGAAGGAGGGCATGGAATAAAACAGAAGACACCAAGTCCTGACCTCTCAGGATCTCCATATAATAGAGGGGGTTAGAGGAGGAAGCTGCCCCCCACACACACACACACACCTTCTTTCCTTTTTTGCCCCAGGCCGTTTCAGAGCTCTTACTCCCTCTAAATCCCAGCATCAGATACAACCCTCAGGCCAGGTCCAAAGCTCCTACCAGCTCCTACCTTGTTCCTTAAGTTTCCCTCCTAAGTGAAGCCATCTTCTGGATCTCGCCCCATAAAAAGACTCTCCTTGCTGGAGCCTAGGAGCTCACAGCCACTTCCTCTTATTCCCAGCATGGCTGCATCTCTTCCCATCTAAAAGCCCTCTCAGGTTAGCAAAGCCAAGGATTTGAAGGGTTCCCTTTCTCCTCCCACCCCCATCTTCAATTGCCTCACTTCTCATTTTCTTTCTTTTTTTTTGGTATTGGGGATTGAACTCAGGCACTTGGCCACTGAACCACATCCCCAGCCCTATTTTGTATTTTATTTAGAGACAGGGTCTCACTGAGTTGCTTATACCTCACTTTTCCTGACACTGGCTTTGAACTTCCAATCCTCCTGCCTCAGCCTCCCAAGATGCTGGGATTACAGGCACACCTGGCTTCTCTTCTCATTTTCTATTGTCTTCTAAGATTTACGGTACCTGCATAGGCAGTTCACCCAATGGGAGACAATTCTGTCATTTTGTACATTGTGATATTTAACTTATTTATTTGCCTTTTCTTCCAGGAACTCCTTTCTGATGGAGGACTCTGCCTACTTATTCATTCAACAAATACCTATTGAGATCTACTATGTGCCAGTCACTGGACTAGAACTAGACATATGTTAGTGACAAAACAGATAAGGTCCTTACTCTTATACAGCTGACAGCCTAGCTGGGGACAGACAGGTAAAGAGAGGATTTCAATTCAGTGTAATTAGGGCTTAGGGAGCACTTAGGAAAGACCTTACCCGTGTTTTGGGTAACTGCAATATGGATCACCATCTGAACTGAGACTTCATACAAGCCTCAGGTGTGGTTCAATCCAGGCAGACAGAACATATCTTACTGGAGTTCCAAAGATAGACAGGATTGCAGCAAGAGGTCTAGACCAGATGTCATAAGAGATCACTAAAGGCTTAATTTCCATAAAATCCCTTGGTAATAAATTCTCCAAGTCCCCAAAGAAAGAAGATGGGCCTGAGAGTCCAGAGTATGTGATATTGGCCTAGTCAGTCCCACTCTCTGGGCCTTACTTCATTCTTCTTGTTCTTTTTTAACCTACCTCTCAGGCAAGATCTTGGTTTTC